GAAGTGGTAACGTTAACTTCAGAATTCGTTGCACAGAAGTTCAAACAATAAGGCAACTAGAATTAACTGATAAATACTAACAGAAGAAACAAGCTGAATAAAAGCAAATTAATTTTAAAAAGCAACCACTTCATGAGGAAACAAAGTTGAACGTGATGAATTAAACAAACAAAAGGGCACGTTCGAACACAAGTGCTGCCAAACGAGAAGTGATAGTTTGGTAAAGGAGTGTAGGAGGAGTCGCATGTGTCACGTGAGCATGTCATTTCTCCTATTGGTGAGGAGGTGACACATGATGATTTGCATGAAAGACATGTTGGAATCTTGCAATTCCAATAGGGGGGAGCAGAGGGATTGTAGCATGCATAAAGAAAAAGTTTGCATATAGAGGGCAGCACTGAACAAGAATAGCTAATCTTGTGAGATATGTATCTGTGTATGCATACTTGCATCTTCGTTAAGGGGCTTCTTTTTGTACAATGTATCAATTTATTCATTTTTTTTTTACATTGTATAATATCGATATAAAAAGGTTTCTTTTTATTGCTTTATTGTTTCATTGTCATTTGCTTCGTTAAAGTTTTTTTGATTCGAATGTTGTAGTTCTCTGTTTAAGAGTTGTGTCATCCATGTCGCATGTAAATGTTTAAAGGAGTGAAAGAAAGTTACATTTTTTGAACATGTTGCAAGTGCAAACTTAATTGGTTTTAAAGTAAAGTTTAATTTTCAGCTTGAGAAAAAGCCTGAAACAGATGGGGAAGGAAAAATGTTGTATGTAGGCATACAATGGACTTTCTAACTTCTTATTTTAATTTAAGAATTTAAACATTTTTTTTCATTTATTCTGAATGTACGTAGTTTTCACACATGGTCCAGAAACTTGGAGTAAACCTTGTCTGCCCCAATTTTTAATCTCTCAGATCTTTCTACTTAATACCAAGGAATTAATATCTACATAAAGCAGGTTAATTTAAATATTTCCCATAGAATACTCATGGTAAGGAAGAATGCTAAAACCTTCTGCCCTAAAAACATTAAAAGCTCAGCCATCTCAAATTTTTCAAAAAATCTTGTCATCAGCATCCTTTAAGGGCCCAATCCCCATTTTAACATTTTGCTGACCTTTTACATAATTTTAAAAAATCCTTGCTGTTATTTATATTATTATTATTATCCAGCTGTTTTTCATAAGCCCTTTTAGATTTCTTAATTTCTTTTTTAACCCAATCCCTAAGTCTTTCTACATAGTTCTGTAAATTTTCTAACCTATCTGTTAACTTAAATTGAACACAATTATCACAGATTTTCTCCTTTATGTCTTCAGTAAGCCAATTAGGTTTCATCTTTCCTTTCCCTCTCTTTAAGAATATGTCTATTTGAAATTAAAAGTAATTAAATTTTATAAACTTTCCAAGTCTGACCCTGTAAGTTAGGAACTAAAATCAATTACTTTTTTATCTCAAGATGTAACAAAACATCAAACATAATTATGTAAAAATGATCACCTTTCCCCAGATGTTCTCCTACTTCAACTCATGCAACCATATCCTCATTAGTGGTTACTAGTAAATCTGATGTGAAATTCCCCTTGATTCTTTCAATGACCATTTAGTATAGAAAACCTACTGTGAATCACTTCAGGAAATCTCACTATAAGAATCCATACAATCTCAATCAATGTGTCTATAGTTAGAATTCCCCAATCAGTTTTCATATTAGTTATAACCTTGATCTTGTTTTACAATCATTTATTGACCATGTCTGTATGTTCAGGTGGCATGTAACAATGACAATTAAAATGTTCTACCCTTGAAACCCCTGATTGTAACCCATATAGATTCAACCTTTTGATTACCAATTTTTGTCTTCAATCTTAACAAGTTGTAGCTCATCCCTTAAATAAAGAGCCACCCCATTTCCTCTTGACTACCATTCTTTGTATCTTCATTTCCAACAGGCTGTAGTTCATACCTTGTATCAAGATCCACACCACCCTCTCTTTTAATATCACTTTAAGTAATTCCTATTATCAACATTCAAGAAATGTAACCAAGTTTCAGTAATTCATATTAAATCACAGCCAACCATTTTAACTAGATCTCTGAACTCATCCATTTTCTTCCCACTGCTCCTAATGTTAGAATGATTGAAAATAAGCTCTGGACCTCCAACTATTCGGCAGCTCCTACTCAATTACTCGAAACTAAATCGGTGAAACTGAAAATAACACACCTTGAATAATGTTGCAAACTTCAATAAGATCACATTTTTCACAAAAGTGAGATACAGTGGAGCTTTGCTATAATGTGGTCCTGTCAAACTGTCAAATAAGGTGGATCCATGACATTTTCATTTACATCCCATTCAACCCAGAAATCATTAATAAATAACACAAAGAACAAGACAACTTATGCAGTTTTAAATACACATTAAATTTTATTTTGGAAATGTTAAAATAATAAGAGTATAAAATTCATACATGCACAAAATTGTTTTAGAGTATTGTTACGGATCATATGGGACATGAAGATGATAGTATTCACAACAATTTCAGAGAAGCATTGAAAAGTCGATTCAATAATATCAAGAATAAATAAAAACACCTTTGAAAAAAATCACCACTGAACATAACACAGGTAATTCAGAGATTTAACACAAATTGCTGCAAATTGATTTATGTATTAACGAACACTGAAGAAGTCAGCAACATCATACAGTTCACTTATGAATAAATGTGCACTAAATTTATGATGCATAAAAATCTTACATGGACAAAAAATAGATAAATCATAAAATATCACAGCAAACAACCGAAGTGCTTTCAAAGGGTTGCCTTTCCTTCTTTAAGAGTTGATTACTCTATTTCCAGGTTCTTGTTTTGTGATTATTCAATACATGTACCAGTCAAAGAAGTAACCAGTAAGTGAAATATAACTACAGAAGGTAGGATTTTTTTTCTAGAAATTCTTAAATTTAATTTGTGCATTTTCTAAAAAAAAAAAGTCATTTGACTGTTTCACACAATTTTTTGAAAAAAAAGTTATTTATTAATTCAAAATTTTTACATGAATAGTTGATATTAATTTCATTGAATCAGTATGATCAAATCTTCTGTGAACTTACTGTTACGACAGCAGAAGTCATGTGACACTGGTAACACGTAATGAGTATCTTGAACATTCCTGAAGGCTCGAGAGTTTGCTAGACACGTACTCTTCTAGTATATAAGACCGGCGAGAAGTGACGGCATAGATAATAGATAATTGCAGACAGACAGAGACGGACAATTGAGTAAAGCGCAGTAGTAAGTAAAGTGCGTGAATTGTTTGTTGTGAATTATAGCGTGTGTTGAAGTTAAAGTGATTGTGGAAATTAAGTGTATTGCAGAGTTTAATTGAGAAAGAATAAACTAGTTTTATTTAAGAAAGGACTTGTATCACTGAAGTTTCTGGGAAAGAATTTCTACAGAAAATTAACAAACGAACAGAGACGTAACACTACTTTAAAAATTAATGATTAACTCAAAGTAAAATTAAAAAAATTAATGTCAAAAAATGATCAACTAATCAAAAATACTGTGTTTGATTATTCCAACTATCCAGTAATCAAAATATTGCCATTATGATATTTTCAATATAATTTTTTGGCTAATTCAAGTTTATTCACCTTAATCAATTAGTGCGCCATTCATGAAAATAATCAACTAATTAAAAAACAGGATTTTCAGTTATTATTTTTGTTTATTCTAAGTAACAGAAATACTATCATTATATTTATATATATATATAAATTTATATACATATATATTAATATATTTATATATCTATAATTATATTTATTTGTTGTTTAGAAATTCACTTAGTTGTGGATTAGTTTGTTTTTTTTACCAACTTGTGAGAATAACTGATTAGTTGACTGTAATCAATTAATGAGCATGATGAATAATTGATTAGCTAATTCTACTAATCATCCAGCTCTACCTATGAGCATTGATTACATTGATTAGTCTCACATAAGATAGTGAATTAAATGAAATTATGATTAAATCATATGTCATGAAAACAATCAACTGAAATTAGTTTTTCCAATTATTAATATTTTCAATAATTCCAACCATCCAGTAACAAAAATATTGCCATTATAATTTTTCTGTATCACTTTCCATTAATTCAAGTTTGTTCAACTTAATAAATTAGTGTCACAACTCTTGAATATACATAATAAATCAATTAAAATTAGGGTTTTCAATTATTAACATTTCTGATTATTTTAACTATCCATGTAAGCAGAGCTACAGGCTGTCTGAGCTCTGTCCTGCAAGTATCAAAACTAGACTTTCAGCATTGTACTTTTTTGTTTTTTAGCCATTTCAAATGGCAATAATTAATTAGTTTAATGTAATCAATGGCCCAGCATGGCCAGGTGGTTAGGGTGCTCAACTCACAATCTGAGGGTCACGGGTTCAAATCCCCATCACACCGAAACATGCTCACCCGGTGTCCGAACCAGGACGCAAGTCCTACTGCCAGATACTCACCTCCAACAGAATTTGGAGGTGTGAGAAACACCATATGAAACAAAAACAATTTAATCAATTAAAAATTCAAATAATTGATTGATTAGCAAATTCCACTAATCGCCCAACTATAAATTAACTTACAAAGCAGATCTTCAAAGCCTTACTCATTCCAAACAGAAGTCAAAATAAAGTAGCTTTTGACATTTTTGAGATGTAAGGGGAAAAAACTGAAACAAATACATTCTGAAAGCTTAATTTCACCAGTGAGTGACTGTGCCCATAATTTTTCTCTTTAATTCTGCTTGTTTAATACATTAAACCTTTTAATTTTTATTGTAATGGGTCACTTTATAAATTCATAAACAATAATATTTGTTGATTAGGAAAAATACACATATTTTTCGAAGTCACACAAACTTCATTCTAAACATTATATAAATTGATCTTTGTTCATAAACAGAACACTGTTAATCTCAAATACCTCGAAACATTTTCATCCAGTCTGTATTGTAACCATTTAGTTCTTCTACATCTGCCAAAACCTTTTCTTCACCTAACAGTCTCTGAAAGAATTCTAAGTCTTGGGATGAAAGTTCTGTGAAAGGTCCTCGTTTTAACCGAGGATATTGTTTAGATGTAAGTTCCACACCTGAATGAGTCAAAGTACCATAGTTATGAGTTTTGAGGAATTTTCTATTCACTGAAATACTGTTTATTTTTGAAAGCTCATTAGTGAATAATAAATTCAAGTATTCAAAACGCGGTTTATAAGTTCCATAAGGAAGTCCTCGGGGTATCAACAGCAACTTGTATAACATGACTGGCAGAAGACTTGTTCCAATATCAAATGATTAGCTGAAAACAATAAAAGCAAAGTTTCAGTTGCAAAAGAGAAATCTCAACATAACTGCTTGTCAATAAACATATACAGTATTATTTGCTCAAATGTACTGTGTAAAACTGACTAAATGCTCTAGATCAGATGTTCTCAACCTGTGTCATGAGAGGCTTTAAAGGGAGTGGCAAGCAAGGTGAGAAGGTACAACAAATCTCTTTTTCAGTTTTTCTTTATTGTTTAAAAAAGTAACCTCATCTTCCCAATTTCTCAATATCTATTTATGCTACAAGGAAAGAATTTCTATTTTGCATCTTTTTTGTTTATTTAACTTTTAAGGGCTATCTGAGCATCGCCATCAATAATTTTAAACTCACAGACTAGAAGGAAGACAGTTAGTCAACAATACCTACCAAAAACCCTTAAGTTACTTCCTCTAACCAAGTAGTGAGATTTGACTATCACTCTTTTAGCACATTCACACTCCCAAAACACAAAGTATATTTTTATGCAATAAAATTTAAACCATAAATCCTTGAATTCACAGTCTGGATACACTAACCACATCTGGTCCTTCTTTTTAATATCTTATGTTTTTTGATTAAGCATTTTAAAATTACAAAATAACTAAAATAATATGTACATTAAATTGTGTTATTTTACTAGCATTTATTTAGAATAATAGTTATTCTATGTTGATTTTTAATCAACTGCAAATGGGGGATTTTGAATGTTCACCCCCAAACAATTTTGAGAACCCCCTGCTCTAGATACCTGCTGCTTGTCTTTGGTTCCTTTTCTATTTTATATATTAAGTTGTTACATTTTTGGAATCAATTTTAACTACAGCAGATCAAGTAAAACTAAAAATAGTATCCCTACAAGTCCACTCTTTATTCTTTAATTAATGAGAAATATTATTGAATCACTGTGTTTATTAAACCACAGCTAAGTGGTAGCATAGTTAAGGAAAAAATATTACATTATACAAATCCAAAATTATTTTTAGATTATATAGCTAACATATCAAGACACTAGAATTAGAAACAGAATCCCCGGATATGGAATAGAATATGAAGTGAGTTCAATTACTATGCATCTTATATTTTGAAACAACAATCTCATGAACAATATTCTATATTTACATTTTAATATTTGATGTTCTCTAGAATTTAAAAGTAAAAGCTAAATCTCACTTTTTCTATGCTAAGTTAAAACATACCCATTAATGTCTTAATACTAATAGTTTTATGTACATTATTTATTGAAAAATTACACACACACAAAGGCTTTTCTTGCATTACTGAATTAGTATTAAACATTCTAAGCAGATTTCCAGCAAAAGATAATCCTAAAAATGTTCATAACTCAACTGTTAAAAGTAAAAGTATATACACATTTGCGTTTTGGATTTTATTTAAAAAGTAAAGCACAAAATCAATCACATTAACTTAGAGCTAGACCCAATAATATATAGGTCATTCTAACCAATCAACATGTCAGTTATAACTTATAGTAAATTCGCATGCAAAAACCTACTGATTTCGTCTGTTTGTTTGTAGTTAAGCACAAGGGCTATCGGTGCTCTTCCCGTGACGATTATCAAATACCCGGTTTTGCGTTATACATATAAGTCTACAGACATGCCGCTGAGCCAAATGGGGGAAAAAGCCTACTGAAGTGATCAGATTATGCAATTGTTTTGATACCCTCATTCTCAAATGCTTTCATGTGCCCATAAAATGCAGGGAGAAATCTCAAATAAGTTGTATTTTTGTCAGCCTTTCGCACATTACTTAAAAATAATCTGATATTATGAAGCACTTTAAAAAGTAATTAGAAAAATAAACCCCCTATGTCTACGAAACAGTTACCCGAAAAAAATAGGAAAGAGCTAAACTTTGTTGCCAGTTTGAGTTTCCTTATTTACAAATAAAAATCTGTCTGAAAAGCAAAATTGAGATTACATTATATATGAATATATATATACATATAATTATATTAAAAATATTATAGTTCTGTATATTTTGAAACCATAATATTATAACTGATTTTGTCTCATAATTTGTTTCATAATTTTTTCATTTTATGTTGAAAATTTCGCTTAAAGAAATATTTTAGGGAAATGCACTAGTGGGAAATGTTAACTCTGTCATACAGTTGTTGCGTCAGCGAGGTCACGTGACTAGTATCACGCCACCTGTATCTAGGAGTATCCTGTACCTTCATGAATGCCCTAGCATTTACTAGATATGTGTTAGACTAGTATATATAAGATGGTCACAACGGGACAGGGGGAATGAGTAATTGAACTGCAGTCAGAGAGTGTGTAATTGAACGGAGTGTTGTTGAAGTTAAGCACGTGAGACGTTCGTTGTTATAGCGTTTGTTATAGCGCGACTGTTGAAATTAAGTGTATCGCAAAATTATATTCAGAAAGAATAAACCAGTTTTATTTAAGAAAGGACTTGTGTCACTAAAGTTTCGTCGGAACGAAGTTACGGAAAAATAACTAACGAACGGAGATGTAACAAATTGGTGTCAGAGAGTGGGACAGAAAATAAAAAAAAAGAAGAAGAAGATGGGAAACGAGAGGCGGAAAACCAAACTACAGCTTAGCAGATTTGATGGCAGCAATACAAGAACAGCAAACGAAACAAGAAGAAGGAGAAGAGAAATGACAACAGTTTTAGAGGAAAAAGAAAAGAAACAAGAAGAACGAGAAAGTAAACAAGAAGGGAGACAACAGCAGTTGCAAGGAAACCTGCAACAGTGGCAGCTCGAACAGCACAATAAACAAGAGAAAAATTACAGCAGTTGTTGGAGGAAAAAGAAAAAACAAGAAGAGAGACAACAGCAGTGGCAAGAAAACCTGCAACAGTGGCAGGTCGAACAGCAAACTAAACAATAAGAGATATTACAGCTGTTGTTGGAGGAAAAAGAAAAGAAACAAGAAGAAAGATTACAGCAGTTGTTGGAGGAAAAAGAAAAACAAGAAGAGAGACAACAGCAGTGGCAAGAAAACCTACAACAGTGGCAGTTCGAACATGCAAAATAAACAATAAGAGAGATTACAGCAGTTTATGGAGGAAAAAGAAAAGGAACAAGAAGAACGAGAAAAGAAAAAGAAGAGAGACGACAGCAGTGGCAAGTAAACCTGCAACAGTGGCAGTTCGAACATGCAAAATAAACAATAAGAGAGATTACAG